CAAAAGATTTTATCTCAAGTTTTGTAGCAGATTTTTTTTAGTTGTTGTTTTTTCAACATATGATGTAAGTGTTATTTGAGTTGAATAAAGTTAACCATGAAGGTAGGCCTTCCCGTGATAAATAATAATAATAATAATGTATTTTTTATTTGTAGATAAGCCTTTTAATTAATTTGACACTAACAGCCGCTCTAGATAGTCAAAGAGTAAAAATAAATGATATAACAGGCGACGATTGTTGTACAAATACATGACAGCATGCATTAATGATGACCAACGTCATCCGTACAAATAGATTTTGTCAAATATGTGTAGGATTCTGTAAAGAATACGGAGTTAAGCTGGGAATACAATGTATATTAATTAAGATACCAAACTCTCTAGATTTTAACCCTCTTGGTGTATCGGAGGCTATGGATCGCTGTGGGCCCCATTTGTAAGTGTATGTGTCGTTAGTTTAGACTAGCACATATGTTTTTGGTTTTGAGAAGGTACTCCATGGTTTTGCTTTTTTCTTGTGTTTCTATCGGTTTCATAGTTTTTCTTTCGGAACGTTAGATTTTTAAGCATGGCAAATTATATTGTCGTGAGGATGACAACTTCCTCATCAACCATGACAATTTCTGCAAAAAACAAATTGAACATGATAGGATTTGCCATGCTTGCTAAAGGAAATTGTCATTCTCGTGATAACATAATTTGCAAACTTGGGCATTCGATTTGCAATGCTAAAAAAGTCTGACATTTGATTTGCGGCAAAATCATTTTCTTTTAGGTTTTTCCTGTTTTTATTCTACTTTCCATGAATATTTAAAAAATACGTGAACATTTTTGAAACAATAAAAAAATCTCCAAATTAATGATTTTTCAAATTTTACAAACATTTTGAAAGTCAGTACATTTTTAATCTGAGAACCTTTTAGAAATTCACAAATATTGTTTGAAATCCAAGAATATTTTAAAATTTTGTGAATATATTTTATTAAAATTTATGGCTTTAAAGTTCACAATATTTTTAAACCTTAACTTATTTTGTGGATTGTTTCAAATAAAAAAATACGATAGCTGTTTCTACTAGCTTAAAGAGTGGGGCGAGCAAAGAAAAAAACTTAGGCTAGCCAGCGAAGTAGGAAGCAAAACTTAGTGAGCAAGAGCTTCATGGGTGACGGCAGGTTGACAGCAGTGGGCAATAGCATGGCGGCACATCAGGAACGACAGCGGCACAACAGAAGCAGAGGGTAGCAGCATATCAGTATCATACCATCTCCACCACAATCTCTTCCCCATCAGCTACGGGAACCAGCGGCCCACCGGCCCTAAATCCAATATTGCTCGCCGCCCCCAGCACCTCCACTGGCGGCGGGATCTAGAGCCTCAGTAGCTTCCTCATTTATCTTCGTTGGATTATGACAAGGATCTGATGGTGTGTACTGCTCTGTCGCCATGCCTTCTTGCTCCATTGGAATTGGCATTGCCGGTGCGCCGTTAATCTTCCCCATGGCTTGTTGCATTTGATGAAGTTAATGGAACTATGATTTGAAGAAAATATGTGCTAGCCATCGTCATTATTGTTATTTCATGTAGACTCGGTATTTGGGAAGCATGTCCGGTCCACCATCTTTCCCTTTAGATGATCTCCATTTGTATCCACGTCCAACGACTAAAGAGAAGCTACATAACTGATAATCTTACAGAAACATCCATAGGTGGGGCCGGCTTTGCATGGATAAGCTCATTCCTGGAAGAATCAACGGGCGAACACGCATGGACTCATCAATCTTGCACACAAGAGGGAAGAACCAGCCATGACTAGATTGGATGCTTGTAAACGCATGTAGCTCCCATTCCAAGGACATTGTCAGCCATAGCCTCTTCGCATTAGCGCAGGCATAAAACACATGGAAAGTATCTTCATCCTCCATATGGTAAACAAGGCAGTTGTCGTGCACTTCTAAATTCCTCATGTGTTTATTGCACCAGGTTGCGAATGAATTGGTCTAGAAAGAGAGAGCCTTCGATGGCGCAAGGCAAGACCATATCACCTTCCACCCGTCTGGACAACCATCGAGATTAGTTCTAAATGAAGTGATCACCCCGAGGCTTCGTCAACTGCTAGTCGATACGCACTCCTAATGGCAAAGATGTCATTTTTCTCAAGGGCCCAAACAATGAAATCTTGTCCCGGTTGAAATGCGAGGGTCCTTCCGGAAGAAATTGACGCCTCCCAAATCATCTTGCGAAACTTGAAGGAGGAAGCTAGGCTTTGGGTGCTAGCAGGTGCGAAACGCAAATTTCATGTCGCGAGAGTAATGACTTTTGTATTCAGTGGGCCTCCTGTGGCTCCAACTTAAACCTTGTCTTCTCCCCTGATTAATGAATGAGACAAATCTTTTGCCTCCTCTTTCAAAAAATAAAATATCTTGTCCCGGTCAATATGCACTCCTAACGGTGAAGATATTGTTTTTCTCACGGGCATGTTGATCCTCCGTCCTTGTAGCTGGACTCACACTAGATTTTATCTCAAGTTTTTTAGCAGAATTTTTCTTTTGAGTTGTTGTTTTTCCAACATATGATTTAAATGTTATTTGAGTTGAATAAAGCTAACCATGAAGTTAGGCATTCCCATAATAATAAAATAATAATAATAATAATTTATTTGTAGATAAGCATTTTAATTAATTTGACACTCACATCCGCTCTAGATAGTCAAAGAGCAAAAATAAATGATATAACAGGTGATGATTGTTGTACAAATACATGAGAGTACGCATTAATGATGACCAATGTCATCCGTACGAACTGATTTTTGTCAAATACGTGTGGGATTCAGTAAAGAATACAGAGTTAGGCTAGGAATACAATGTATATTAAGATACTAAGCTCTCTAGATTTCAAGCCTCTTGGTGCATCAGAGGCTATGGATCATTGTGGGGCCCGTCTGTAAGTGTAATGTGTCGCTGGTTGAGAATAACACATAGTTTTCCGGTTTTGAGAAGGTATTCCATGGTTTCCCTTTTTATTTCTTCCTGTGTTTTTTTATCAATTTCATAGTATTTCTTTCAGAACGTTAGATTTTTAAGCATGGCAAATTATATTGTCATGAGGATGACAATTTCCTCTATCAACCATGGCAATTTCTGGCATAAAAACTGAACACGGCTAGGATTTGCCATACTTGCTAAAGGAAATTGCCATTCTCACGAAAACATAATTTGCAATCTTGGGCATTCCATTTGCCATGCTAAAAAAATCTGACATTTGATTTGCAGCGAAATCATTTTTTTGGGGGGCTTTTCCTGTTTATTTCCCTGTTTTTGTTTTTGTTTTTGTTTTTATTCTACTTTCCATGAATATTCATTAAAATTCATGAATATTTAAAAATATGTGAACATTTTTAAATCAGTAAAAAATATCCAAATAGATGAATATTTTCAAAGTTTATGAACATTTTTAAAGTCTGCCTACATTTTTTAATCTGCAAACCTTTTTCAAATTCACAGATATTGTCTAAACTCCATAAATATTTTAAAATTTTGTGAATGTAGTTTAAAATTTATAGTTTCTAATTCACAATATCTTTTGATTAAATGGAGTGTTTCAAAAAAGAAACACGATGGCTGTTTTTTCTAGCTTAAATAGTAAGGCAAGCAAAAAAAAGTTAGGCTAGCCAGCGAAGAAGGAAGCCAAGCACAGCGAGCAAGAACTTCATGGGTCAGCCAATGTATATCAACAATTCAATGGTTCGCGCACAGAAGAAGAGCTCTCAAGGACATCACAACCACCACCGACTGGCACCAAGGCCGAAACATGTAAAAAAACCACAAACACGAGCTGAACAACCCCACAGTCAAATTAGAATAAATACCATATCTAACGGCAACACAACACAATATACGAATTAAAAAACACCATCAAAACATAATTAAAATCCAGACCATAGATAAAATCAAAACAAAACAATCATCCACAATAACCTGCTGGGGAAAAAGAAAAGTTAACCCCACAAGTGAAGAACGGCGCGGCAAAGCAAGCACAGTCCTCTAGTGTATTATGAAGGGGATGTACGAAAAGGGGTGGGATTCCAAGTGGGTACATCCGCAGGTTCTCCATAGCATTTCTCATTAAAGCGTCTGCAACAAAACACTAGTGCTACGATCTCCTTACAACAGATAATCAAAGGGTTGGGCTGCACTTTCGCCTACTCATGAACGGCTGTACCAAAACTGGATAAAAGACGTCGTATGCATAGAAAGGTTCTTTGAAGCCCTGCTTTGCTAGCGGCTGATGGGGGTGTGCATCCGCTCCACGATTCTGTTGATGGCGTCTCGAGTCATTACGAGGGTGTCATGCTGCAGGATGCTGTAGACATTGAGGCCCTGCATTTGAACATGTAAAACATCAGCACACTATTCTTGGGTCACAATATCTGCTGCGAAAACCACAATGGGACTGTTAATCATTGTTAAGCCGCTGAGATACCCAGACACTTACAATCGAAGGAATGACATTCACGTAGTGAAGATTTTTAGTGGCCAGCTTTAACTTCTTATCAATGTCGCCTCCATCCACCAACAAAACCTTCTTCGTATCGTCCATCTGCTTGATGTACTGCACGATGTTTTTCGTCTTGTGGCTGGGGACTTCTAGGTCCTCGAAGATGCAGAGCTACAATAAAACATGGTCAAGTAAACTATACATGCATACGTAGTTACTGCAGAGAATGGTTTCAGATGGAGAGTTCCGGGCCAACTCATGTATACGTATTTGCGTTCAGGATAACAGATGGTCAAGTTTTTCCTTTGTCACTTTGTGTGCTCGAGAATTTTTGGGAGCAGCACCAGAAGAAAATAACATTGCATAAAACAAATTAATTGTTACACACTGATCGATAGATTTCAATAGCTTTTACTCTTTCAAGAAGCCGTGGAAACAATACCATCTCAATGTCACATCTCATAAGCGACAACCTAAAAGTAAATCGTCTAAGAAGACAAGGCAGTCAGAGAAACCATTCTACAAATACATGATATTGATCAAAAAGTACAACTAGTTCATGCTCCATTAGAACTAGGGATAAGTGGTCTGTTCTCTGAACTTCAGGAAGGATCTATAAAGTACAAAATATCGTGAAAGGATCTAGAAAGCATAAAACATAGCAAAACAGTTTCATAGTGACATGCTGATCAACAGCTTCTGAAACAGCACATTAATTCTCGCATAGTTCTAGCAAATACTCCCTCCATGCCATAATATAATACGTTTTTGCAATTCAATTAGAACTGCAAAAACGTCTTATATTGTGGTACAGAGGTAGTAATAAACATGATCATTACTGTTGCCCGAAGCATACTAGTACTAAACAAGGGTTCATGATTTAATGCAGAATCCATTTTGTAACAGAAATAGTTATCTTGGGATAAGGAAGGAGCTAACTCTACACAAGAACATCCAGGAAGATACACAATGATTTAGTAAGGCAGCAAATACCTTCCCCTCAGCTGTTCTAGCAGACAAGGCTATCTTAAGTCCCAGACGTCGCACTTTCTTCTGCAACTTGAATGCATGGCTTCGTGGTTTCGGGCCATGCATAGTTGCACCTCCTCGAAACTGTTTCAAACAAGATGAGATATCTCCGAAGCCTATTCAATACCATTTATATGAATGGAGGAATGTCAAGATAGGGTAGTATAACCTGACAACCACGCAATGTTCCATGACGTGCTCTTCCAGTTCCTTTTTGCTTGTAAGGCTTTCTTCCTGTGCCGCTCACTTCACTGATAGTTTTAGTTGAGTGTGTCCCCTGTGAAAGACAGGTGCATGCAATTATCGGAACGTGCATTAGAAAGATAGAACTTAAGGGCCTGTTCGGCTCTCCTCCGCTCCACACTCTCGCTCCGGGAGTTGGTGGAGCGCTAGTTAAAAGTCCAGGAGCGGGGGAGTAGATGCTCTGCAGATTCTCAGATTTGTGGAGCTAGTGGATCACCGAACACTCCCTAAATATCTGAACTTAAGAATGTACTCCCTCCGTTCCGAATTACTTGTGGCAGGTATGGATGTATCTAGATGTATTTTAGTTCTAGATACATCCATTTCTACGACGAGTAATTTGGAACTGAGGGAGTAACTGATATTACACCCAACATACAGATCACATGATTTGGGAGCTTGTGAGCTTAAGTCAATCAACAGAACAAGAGAGATCGTAGTGTGCACCTGTTGCCTTTTAGCAAGCTGCCACCTTACTACCCTGTGAACGATATCCTTCCTAATTGGAACATCAAAAACATCACCATCCAAAACCATGAATCCGTTGTCCTCATTATGGAAGTTTGTTACTCTAGCTACTAGGTCCTCATACTGCCCTGTAATAAAATATTAATATTACTTACAAGTTACAACTCAGCATAATGTGAAAATAATATATATATATATATATATATATATAGCTTTCTATTAGCCAATTATCACTACATAAAAAGTGACATCAAGTTCTGTCCCATTATGAAAAATCTTGTTCAGTGAAGCTCAATTTTCAATCAAAGAGCGCAGAGTTAACGAAGAAATCTCTGTCAGTTAGATAAAAATAGCCCATAGGGCACTCAAGAGAAACAGCAATGTCATAGCAACAGATGGATAAGGAACACTAGAAACACACCAAGCTCTCGGTCTGGTGTCCAGACAGTCTTGCTAGATAGAAGTTCCGGTGGAATCAGCGCTTCATTTGCTGGAGCCAAAAGAGTAGAATACCCTTTGGAGTAGACATTTGGCAAAATCTGCAAATGAAGAAAGCTAACTGAGAAGGCAGAATTAGAATCACATGCCAGGAAATATAGCCAAGATACAGAAAACCAACTTTTGAACATAACACATTGTTGCTATTTGCTAATCATTACTGAGATAGAACTCAAGCAGGCCCATATTTGTTAATCATTGCTATCTGGATCTAGAAGTACCCTTGAGTAAGTTGATACCTAACCCGAATCACACTCAATCAAACGCTACATTTCCAAACTAGAAGCGACCAGGAATAAAACCCATTACAAAATCTGTTCACAAAGTGGTATCTGGTCATCTGTCAGGTCGTAGAAGGAGGGGCAGTTTTAGCACATACATCTATCGGCACCAAACAAGTGAGGTACAAGTTCAGTTATCCAATGGCGCACAAGCCTGACGGCCATATCCAACGGCTGCTGTTATTTAGCATCCTGTCTTAATTACTGTTGATTGTAATTCGGTTAAAACAGGCACTCTGTTTAGCGATTTAATTCTATTGTTCTGCCACTGTACTTGTGGAAGCTGTTCGGTTATATATGCCCCTCGGGTGGTGAAAAGTAAGAAGAAAAATTACCCAAAATTAATTTCTTAGAGTAGAAGCACATAGCAGCATAGGCGATTTCTTCTTCCCATATATCAGGAATGTGACCCAAACCGCCCAAAAATCAGTGTCAACTGCTCCACAAATCCTGACTGATCGATGGGATCTTGGTACCATCCCAACAGAGACGCCCAAATCCATAGTTTCTAAAATCCCCGTAAACCCTACCCATCCAATGAGCCAAATGCGGTCTAACTCTCACGTATTCAAACTGGCGGAGCACGTCGCTCTAGCCTCACGGAGCACCAACGTGACAGACATGGGGAGGATGGGGTGCAAGAACAAGACCTTGGCGAGGAGCGGGGTGCCGCAGCCGATGGCGCCGAGCTGGGGCAGGCAAGCCATGGCTCGACGCAGGAGGGATGCGGCACGTGCGAGGGCGTGCATCGGCTGGCGCCAGGTGGAGAGGACGCAGCGGTGGCGGCGACCTGGGGAGTCAGAGAGTGTCGTGAGGGAAGTCCTGACAGTACGAGAGAGGGGTAGGGAAGTAGCAGGATCACGCTAGGTGCAAGTGTGACACAGAAGCTTTTGCAGGTTCAGGCCCCTTGCGGCGGAGGTAAAGACCCTAAGTCCTGTGCTCCGGGAGCTTTTTCTCTGCGTATGGATGTCAGATTACAGTGTGTGCAAACCCTTGCCTAAGTGAAGGAGGGTGGCTTATAAAGTGTGTGTCAAACCTCCCCATCTTTTACGTTACAAGGGTTTAACTATGGTGTTTTTGGTGAAGCACAAGGCGGATAATGTCTACCAAAATCATAATGCATGTATTCGTGGATTGTTCATTATATATACAGAGAAAGTAGGGCAACGCCGTAAACCTATAAGGCTCATATAACGTCCACAAAGTACAATAACTTAAGATATTATGGTGTGTGGTTCAATTTAACTAATGCAATGTATCGCCTAGATAGAATAGACCCATCCCACCTCGGTAATAGCATTCTGGTTTGATTCTCTAATGTACTTGCATTGCATTTACTCGGACCAAGAAAAAGAGGTGTTATTTTTTCTGTCTGCTAAACTATACATATATGGATATCAACTCATTATACAGATATAGTATTAAAGCAACATTTTGAAGTGGTTCTAAACAGCACATCAGCCAGGGCCACACTAGCCAGCACGGCGAAGTGCGCATATTCTTCTAGCTACTACAAACTTAGAAATGGATTGTACGCTCACACACAATTAGCAGAACATGGTAGATTTAGGGAGGGGAGTAACACACCTGCCCTTCCATAACACGGACACCTGAATTGACATCTGCTACTGCAGCGCTTGAGCTGCACACATATAGCACGAACAATTCATTCAGCTCTTTCCACAAGCAAGAGGCAGGCTGGCATCACAGACTATACCTAAAGGCGCGCGCGAGTGGTCCAAGCCCCGAGAGCAGAGGAGGCATGCAGGCGTGCTGGTGCGCCCTGGAAGTTGCCTGATCAATCAGACAAGGTGCAGTAAAACACATCAGATCAGTTCAAAGATATTGTGAATCAGTGTTCTGCTTCTGTTGTAAAGAAAGAGCTCGAGGAAGCGCGGGGGAGGGGCACCTAACCTGAGAGATGGTGGCAGCGGCGAGGGCATGTCTGGACCTGGATGCTGCGATGAGAGATCTGATGGACATGGCTGCTGGTGATTAAGCTTTCCCAGCGGCAGCAGCGGCCTGCACAAACAAAGAGGGGAAGAAAGTGATAATAAGTCCCATAGACCTCCTGGATAGGAATGGGTATTTCAACAATTTCCTATCACGGAACAATGTACACAAGTTAAAAAGTGGCGCCCTACTCATATTAAGCTGGTTGCAGCAATTTGTGCCATTGTAGTAGTAGATAAAACGTAAATTTGACATCCTAGCCATGTCGCTCTCATGCATCGGTCCGTAGGTGCCCTTGTAACTATCATGGCCATGTATGAACACGAAACAGCAACCAAGCCAAGCCTACAGCTCGCAGTATTAGCATTTGCCGTTTTCTTGCTGATGCCGTCCATCTAAAAAAAATCTAGACATTGATTGTTGCCTCCACTGTTTATACATGATTACGTTCACATAAATGAGCCAAGCAAAACAGAAAAACGCCATCATTTAAGATAATCATACTTGCACCTCTGACAAACTAAGCAACAAAGACATGGCATCATCATACATAAACATCAACTGCAATCAGTTTAGCATGGAATCATATATAAGCACATATCTAAAAAGAAACCATAGCCCAAACAGTTGCATCACGCTGGCACTGCATCATCATTTCTAACTAAGGTAGTCAGCAGCAGCAACTTAGAGATCAAAATAAGTCCCAAATCAGGTCGGCAATGCAGACAGACCATGGTCCAGAAAATGCATCCTAGCCAGAATAACACAGTTGTAGAAGAGCAAAGAAACGTGGGATGAGGAGAGTGGGCGGAAATGTCGGGCGACGGAGGAGGAGCGTGGGGAGGAGAAGAAGAAGGGGCGACGGGAGAAGGATGAGGGGGAGGGGGAGGGGGCGGGAGAGCAGCGCAGTCTTCTTTACAGGCGATTCACGCAGAGTGAGATGGAGAGAGGGTTAGCGAGAGGGGAATGGGGGGAAGGGAGCAGTAAATCTACGGCGGCGAGGAGGCTCGCCGGTTCACGGAGTCACAGGTTCACGGAGATGGACGGCGACGGGGTGCAGGGAGTGGCGCGCCAGCGGACGGAAGAGAGGGCAGGAGGGGATGACGGTGGAAATGGGGAGGAGGGAATGGATGAGGGGGTGCTCACCTCCGCAGCGGTGATGGCCGCCTGACCCGTCCGGCGGCGGCGACGTGTGCGGCGGCGTGATCTGGGAGCGGGAGGAGGGGAGAGCGGCGGCGAATGGGGGTCCCGGAGTCACAGGTCGCGCGCCCGCCGGCATGTATGGCGGCTGGGCCGGCCCAACAACGCTCCAGGCACCACGTAATCTGGTTAATACAGTTTAAAAAAATATATAAACTTCTAATTATCCCTAAAATACATGATTTCTAATTACCCATAAAATACATGATTTCTAATTATCAAATCTTTTTTTGTCATCTCTTTTTCTTTTAGTTATCGACTTAGCTTCCTTGTGCCTAACAAATCAAATATCCCAAAATAAACTGAAGATTATCTCCATAATCCCAATATTAATATTTTATATATCCTATATGTTCAAAGCTATACAAGTTTGGCTGCATGCTTTCCTAGGATGACAGGCATTCACAAATAAAATATTCTTATTTATTTATTTTTGCAGCAGTTGATTCAAAATCTGCCTGAATTCTCAATTTCATAAGAGTAGGCAACAAATGTACAAATGCATAAAACCAAGCCATTCCAACCAACAATGCACTCATTGTTACTTGTAGACCTTGATACTGCAGAGAACATCCATTACATTGTGACTTGAACATTGCAATGACAAAAACGATCAGAGATTCAACAATTTGTACATAGCCATCGTGCCTAAAAGTTGTAAATTTTCTTAAAATGTGATTCCCCATTTGGACCAAAACAATAAATAAATAAGTGCCTAAATTCAGAAGCTTGTACACACTTCGAATGTTGCAACTATAAAAATAAATTGTACATGAGAAAAGTGAAGAAAACTTACAACTAGTGTCAAACAGGGCAGAAATTTTTGTTTTGGGCCAAATGGGGAACCGCATTTTAAGAAAAAAGGGCCAAACAAGGAATTCTCTCATAAAATACATAGAAAGCAATATAATGGTTGTTGGAACCATGAGCCACTAAAACATAATAGAAATGAGATATACCTTTCTGCCTAGTTGTACTAGCGGCTAGTTCTCGATCTATCACGGTTCTGGTGGGACATTCCTCGGAGCAATAATTCACTCTATTGGCATGTTCTATTGGAGTTACTCTGAGACGGTTAGGATGAGTATATGTTCCATTCATTATACCAAATTCTGCACAAGCGACTAAAAGAAATGTTGCGCCCTCTTTGTACAAACGAACTTGTGCATGTTTCAGTCTTGGAGGTGCTCGATACACAAGTGGAATCCATGGGCATTAACCATTGACACACGATATATTACAACAAGACCATCAACCATCGGCAGTGCCCCTTCTTCAAACAGAAGGTTTCCTGATGTTAATACAGCACCAGCATAAATAAACTCCTTCAAACATTGGAAGCCTCTGTCGTGAAAAATAAGCCTTTCTTTTCTGAAAGTATGGCACAGCGTACGCACAATATACATCACAATGTATCCCATGTTTTTTATATTAAAAAAATTAAATACATATATTCCAACAATTAATTTACTTACATTTCTAAAAGTGTCATTGCGCATTTAAAAAATGGTCTCGTGTAAAACTTTCTTCGCATAATTTGTATAAAATGTCCGTACCACTCAAAAAAATGTTTTCACATGTATTCAAAAAATGTCCAGCGCAAATTGAAAAATATTTGGCATGTATCCAAAAATAATTCAAACATGTATTTGAAAAGAATGTTCATCATGTATTGCAAAATATTCCATGTGTATCAAAACATGTTCAGCGTGTATATGAAAAATAAAATGTGTATACAAAAATGTTCAATGTGTATTTGAAAAAAACTGTTCATCATGTATTTAAAAAAATGTTTAACATGTATTCATATAATGTTCAATGTGCATCCAAAAAATGTTTGTGATATTTAAAAAATGTTCACGTGTATCACAAATATGTTATTGACATTTTATAAAAAGTTTATAGAATGTAAATAAATATTCATGTAAATTTAAGAACAAAATGATAAGTGTCACGTGTGGGGCACGAAGTAACACACACTGATGTTTTTACAACTAAAATTACCATCCAAAAAAACCCAAAAAACTGAAACTTGCCATTCAAATAGAAAGTTACCATGCTTCACAAATAAAGTTGACATCCTCGTTAACTAAACATGCCATCAAAAGTCAAGGAGGAATTGCTTCGTGCCACACGTGTGGCACTCAGGGGCCTATTTATTTCTTTGTATTTGTCTTTTTATTTTTCTGTTTTTCCTTCTGGGTTGATTATTTTCCATAGGGTTTTTCACTTTTAATTGTGTATAGTTGTTTTTGCACTATAAAAATTTCTCTAATATATGGTGAAAAAATTCAAATACACATGGAACATTATTAATATACTGACGTTTTTTCTATATACATTTTACTTGTTTTAATGTACAGTGAACTTTCTTTGATATGTGGCGATGTTTTTAATACAGGCTAAAGTTTTTTATATGTGCAGTAAACTTTTCATAATGTATGGTAAAAAATCCATAGACAATGAGCATTTCTTAATACAGACTGACTTTTTTAAACACATATTGAACATTTTTTTTCTAACATATCTTCTATTTTATAGATTGGTTTGTTTTTTGTGAAAACCCAACATGAACACCGATGAGAAAACTCAACAAAATTGCTCAAGTGAGCTCGCCGGATTGGGCCGGCCTATTTGCGGCTCACTTCAGGCGTTGGGTCGGGTATTTGACGCTGGTGCACGTTCAATAGGAGGACTGGCTTTACCGAAAAAGGCTTTCGCCCCGCTTTATAAATAAAGCAACCACCAAGCACAAGTCAACAAGGTATCATCCAACACACACACACACAACGCCACCGCAACAAGGTCCAACACAAACTCACGAACAACACATACACCACAGAGTCTGCTGTGGGCACAGCACAACAAGCCCAAACACCACAAGGGTGGCACAACCAACACACGGCGGCAGCGTCGAAGACGGAGAATAGCTAATCTGGCTCGGGTGGTGGTGGGGGAAGCTGCGGAGCCATGCGGAGAGCCATCGCGCGAAGCTGGGTGATGATGAAGGTGATGGCGTCTCTCTCCCTAGGGCGGCTAAGCGGCCGCCAAAGCTGCAAGTAACCAGACCATTTGAACAAAGCATCAGTAGCGCGTCGAAGAGGTATACGCTGAATCACAAGTTTATTCCTAATAGTCCACAGCGTCCAGGCAAGCACATCGATGGTCAGCCAGCTAATGTGGCGGGACGAAGGTGGCAGTGCCTGGAGTTCGGCGAAAAGATCGGGGAAGTTGTTATGGGCCCAACTACCCCCAACCATCTCGCGGAAACAGCTCCAGAGGAACTGCGTGGACAGGCAGGTGAAGAAGATATGGTTCGAATCCTCTTCCGGCCCGCATAGCGGGCAACGGCCATCGCCGGGGTCGTTGCGCTTTAGAACTTCCACCCCAGATGGAAGGCGGCCACGAATCCATTGCCACAGGAATATCCTAATTTTCAAGGGGGGCCGGATCTCCCAGATGGCGGTAAGCGCCGCGGGGCCCGGGGTAGGGGTGATCGCCTTGTAGAGCGACGTGGTGGAGAAAAGCCCGGATGGCTCTAGACGCCATCGAGTGCGGTCCTCTCCATTCTCCAGCACAGGTTCGTGGAACGCAATGCACGCGATCAGGTCATCCCAAGCCGCAGTCTCTGCCGGGCCAAACTGGCGCCGGAATGCGAGACGCCCTAAGTCAATAAGGGCCGTCGCAACCGAAATCCGCGGGTCTACCGCGATGGAGAACAGGTCAGGAAAACGATCCGCGAAGGGGGCATCACCAGCCCAGCGATCGAACCAAAACAGCGTGGCAGTGCCAGATCCGACCGTAATCGAGGATCCAATGCGAAGGACCGG